GAAATAACTTAACATAACGTAACCTAATATAACATAAAATACCAGTTCAGTTCTATATTTTCTTTGCACCTCCATTTATCTCTATGGCTTTCTATATGACTTCCTCTATCTCCATCTATGTATGTCTCCATTTTTTTATCTTTATATTTATCTTTTATTTTTTATCTATATGTCTTTTCCTTTACCTGTATCCTGACCTTTATCTTCATCTGCACACTCATCCCCGCTTTTGTCATTATTTATTTAAGTCTTTGTCTTTATAACTATTTAGATTTCTTTGCTTTTATTTTAGTCTTTGCCTTTATCCTTTTCTTCACCTATATATTTAACTTTACCCTACTCCTTGTATTAATCTTAATTAAAATCTTAGCTTAAACCGCAGCTAAGCACGTTTCATTAATTCACTATCAATATTAAAGTATACATTTAGGAGGCATTTCCGGCCCAACCATGTACACGTTTGGTATTTGTATTGATGCCACTTTGAATTGATTTTTGCGCTTTATTTTAAACTAATTAGAAATTTGAGGAACTCCCTGCACATCAGCATCAAAATACCTGTCGAATGACATATAATGCTTTATACCTTGGAAGTAAAGTTTAGCCGTAAAAGGGGTGTAAAGAAAAGTGTCCAAATTTTGAAATTTTTTACATGGTTTTTGTTGCATAATGAAATGAAAACGAATGCAAAATACTTCTGCGAGTCACTGTAGGCGCCAATAATCCATTAAAACTGATCGAATTTTAATTGGTATTGTCTTTGTTCTAATTTACACAAAAAATTGCCATGTTGTCTTGCATGGGCATTTATAAAAGTAAATCAATTTGTAAGGCTTCCACAAATTAAATTAATAGATTAGTGGTAGTGATTTACTGTTTCACGCCAATGTATGTACCTACCAGCAATAAGCCTGGCCAATGAGTTGAATGGCAGATTGGTAAATAAGTAGGTTGGTCGGCTGGATGAGTGATTATGCCAATAAAGCAAAAATAAAACGCACAAAACAAACTTTTTTTTCGAGAAACGTTTCGAATGCCTTCGATGGACAACGAATAAGAAAGGGACTCGTTGAAATATGATGAAAACTTTCCAGGTTAAATACCGACACACAAATTGTGCAGAAATGCAAAAATACAAAAAGTCACACGATAGTCTATTAAGTACAATAAAAACAAACTGTCGCAAAGCTAACCGAATGGCTACTTATTGAGCGGACGTTTACCAAATAAAAAGAGAAAGAAGTAATAAAACGACCACCAGCAAAAGCACATAGTGTTAATTCAGTTTGTATTTTTATTTTCCCGCAAACTAATAGCAAATGCAATAAAAAGGTTATAAAACAAAAGCTTAGTAAAAAGGAAATTATAAAAAAAAAAATACAAAAAACACAGCTTAAAGCAAACATTTGTGGTTTTTGTTGTATCTACTTACTGTGCACTTAAAGAATTGACCTAATGCATTATTACCGCAGTCAGCATAAAAGGTTAAAAGGCCAACAAAACGGTGCAACTACAGCTGAAACAACTACTGTCTCAACAACTGCTGCTAATCTAAATTTCTCACTGCTGACAGTTGGCTTCTTGTTGACGATTGAAGTGTTTACCTATTGCCTACTCTTCTTCAATCACCTGCGCAAGTTGCAAACCACAACTACAACAGCAACAAATTGATAATGGCAACCGATTTTAGGGCGGTTTTTGTTGCAAAATAAAACAAAGTGTGCAACGGTGTGATGCGAGGCATGCGAAGCGGCTGGTTGAAGGTGATTGAGAGCAGTCGCCATTGAGAACATACTTACATAAGTACTTGTGCTGATATCTACATTAAAAAACCAACCAACCGAAAGTGGTATGCATTTACATACATGTGTATGTATGTATGTATGTACGTGCGATAAAAAATTGTGTCGCAGCAGTTGAAAGGAAGGTGAAAGGGCTAAACTTATTTGCACATTTCTCAATAAGGCTTCTTGCGAAATGAATGTGGCTTAGTTTTTTGAAGCGCGAAAAAATTATGAAATATGTACGTCTTCAAAAAAATCTTTGCTTAGTCTACTCTGAAAATGCGTTTGCAGCTTTTTAACTGTTGAGGTATGTTTTTGTTAAATTTGAAAATCAAAGACATTTTGCATGATGCATGACGTTCGTATTTTGCAGTTACTTATTAATAGTTGCAGACTAATATGGCAAATCTTGCATGAATGAAAGTTGAATTTTTTGATGGAATGCGTTTTTTGTATTATTAGGTGAGCATCGTATCGTATCGTATCTTGCATGGTTCGATCGACTACATTATGTTGCGTATNTAATTTACATTTTTGTCTGCTGGTTTTTTTATTGTTGTTGTATTGACTTCAAATCATTATGAGAGAGGGAGTAGGGATGTACCAACAAGAATATTCAACAAAAGGATGAAAGTCGTTAGAACTTGGAAATATAGCGGTGGCTGAAACAAAAAGGGTTAAACCATGTTACAGTTATGCTCGTCAGTGTACATATAGGTATCTATCTAGGACGGCCTTCTTCTAGCTAGATCTAATGCTGACTACACACGCTTCGACCATTGCCTCGTGTGTAGCAGTGTTGCTTAAAAAGCATCAAGTTAACACTTGTGTAAGTCACTGCATATAGGTATGTATGTATGTACATACATAAATACATATACGTACTATCTTAAATGTATGGATAAGTGTACGTATGCAAGCATAGTGCGTCTATTGTTAAAGAGTGTTTTAATAGCCCTATAAAAACAAAATTAAACGATAAAACTATAGTAATTCTTATGATTGTAGCTAATGGATTTGTTCAAATTTGCATTAAATAATTTTCTTCTGAACTAAATTCTTCTTGGATAAACATATGAAATTATAACATTAAAGCGATTTAAAAAGCTTATACAAAGAATGTTTACATGTATGTATGTATATATTAGAGTGGTTCTTAAAAACACTATTTTTGGAAATTCATAAACGCTACATCAGAATATTGTTATTTGTGATAAAAAGACACTTTTTTTTTGAAAAAAAAAAAAATTTTAGAGGTCGCGCTGGCCGGTTTTTTATAAAAACGCCGATGTTCTAATTTTTTTTTATTTTCTTGACATCTTAAAATGTTGCTAAAAATTTGATACTGCACGATTTACACATTGTCATGGGTTGGAACTTGTTACCAGGGGGTTCCTGGGGTTGCTAGTTAGGGATCTGAAGTCAGTTTTTCAAAATTCAAAATGGCGGATCCAAAATGGCGATCCAGTTTTTTTAATTATTGGATTTGTTCGAAACCAGGCACTCGAAAGTTATTGGGGTCGCCGATTACGTATCTGAAGTCAACTTTTTGAAATTCAAAATGGTTGATCCAATATGGCGATCAAATAAAAAAAAAATACTCAAATTAAAACGTTGGTACTGAACGAGTTACGCATTGTTTCTGGGATTGCTGATTACGAATCTGACGTCAGATTTTCGAAAACCGAAATGCAATTTTTTTGGTTGAAGGTGTTTGGCGTATTTTCTATACAAAGCATGTTCGACAATTTTCTTTTATATGGAGGACACAGCCAGCAAAAAAAAATGCCAACGAAATTTTTTAAACAGGTGGCAACCCTTCTACATGTAAAAGTAAATGATTTTGCAAACCATTTCGATTGATACCCATATTTTAATATCCAATTCATTTAAATTATCAAATACTTTTAATGCAATTTTAACATGTGGCAACCATTTAAAAAAATAAATAAATCCACAGTCCAAGCCTTGCAATTTGACACCTCAATTTTGAAAATATGCCTAACTATATGTATATACCTATGTAAATGAAACATGGTTAACAGCAAATTTTTATATTAAAGAAAGCATTGAAATGCAATTAAACTTGTATGAGGTCCTTTCCACATCCATTTATTATAGTTACTTCCTAGACAAAATTTGGAAATTTCTAAACCTTATTTTAACTAAATTGAACACAACTCAATGTAGACGCGTACATACCTAAGTATAACAAAGAGAAGCCTATATGAAATTCACAAAATTTAGGTATGTGGCACCCCCATTTTACAAATCGTGAATGTAACATCTCCTCACAGCCTTTTGCAAATTTAAAATGTGGATACTGAGCCACATATTTAGTAGCCTCTATATTTCTCGTTTTTCTCTTGCCGTTCAGCCACTCCTACATATGTATCATTAACTCAAAGTATTTTAAATTTTGTATAAGCTTTTGCTGGCTAAATATTTTCCACATATGTACATACTTTTTGATCTGTTCCATTGCAATGCGACCTGAGATATTTGTACATATATAAATTGTAACACAAAACTTTGCGCTAAATCTGAGCACTACATCAAAATTTAAGAGAGTAAAAAAAATTAATAATTTTGTTACTTCTATCTACTAAAATTTTACGCCACCTCCGAATGGCAGAAATAAATACGGAGGTTTGTCATTGCCTGACGGGGACGACCGCTGTTAGAAACAACAGTTTCTAATTTAAGATGTTGCTCGGACTAGGTAGTGAAGTCAAGTCCTTGTAGAGCGCACCTCTAACCACACGGTTACAGCGGCAGACAGACTCTTAGACAAAAGGCTTTTAGACTTCAAGTAACGCTAAGTTTAGAAAGGTGTCTATTTCGCGAACTTTTTGTCGACAACTCGCACATCTTCAATGGATATTTACTTATGGTTGGTGCTTCAATGGCATTGATTTGTAGATGGCCAAAGAGTATCAAATAAAAGCAACATTTTACAGGTCAAATTTGAGAAATACTTTTACAAAAACTCCACAAGTTTCATCAACAAAAAATGCATTAAAACACAGCACTTGAGTTATCAGCTTTTTATCAAATACTAAAATAAAGTTTTATTTGTATAGTATATGTACTTGAGTTGAGTATTTACTTTTAAGCACATTTAAGCATACATACAAGTAAGTAAGTTATATGCATGATTAAGTTGGCGCCTCAGCAACGCTTTAAATGCTCCGCTATTTCAACCTTTTGCACATCATTTACTTTTGTCTAAAAGCTAATAAAAATAATAATGAGTGTTAAAAAAGTCAAACCAAAAATTTAACGAACGTCAATTTCAAAGGTTAATGAGCGCAGCTCTCCAAGCAACGCTGCCAAAGTGGACATTTTAATCTGCGCATTAATGAGTATTAGCAGCTTAGTTGGAAGTGAAGAAAATGAATCGTTTACGCACGCAAAAATTTAAACTAAATACAGAAGCCAGCAATACCAACATCAACAACAACAACAACAACGATGTAAATACCAACCGCAACAACAATGTAAACGCAAGCCTATCAACTACCGCTGGCCTACTGAACAAGTTGACGAAGCGTTACTCCACGCTCAGCCATCGCATTACGCGTCGCCATAATGTTGGCCGCAAAGGCAGTTCACCACAGAAAGTCGCTTCAGGCAGTTACGACATGACCGGCGCGCATTCGGATGATCATCGTTTAGAGATTGGTGCACCAGTTTTGATATCGACCACAACACTGGATGCCGATCGGTTTGATGTGAGTGAGGAGCGCTTGCGACAGATTGGTGGTGGTATAGCGGTCACAAGCACTATGGTGCGCACAATCAATATACACTCGTCCTCACCGCAGATGCCGTCATCAGGCAGTGAAACGGAGGTGTATGCGGACGCGCTCAGCACGCCACCTGTTGCCGATGAGCCAGTCGAGCCAGCTGGTGAAGAGGAGGAGGAGCAGTATGTGCTCGCATTGAGCACACCGAAGCGGCCATCAGATGAGGCAGTTCCTGCCAACTTGAAGGGGCGCCCCTTTGTGAAAGTGCCAATATTTCCAGTACCAGAGTGTAATACACAAGATGTGGCGTCCGCCAGTTCAACCAAAGCATCTGCAAACTCTGAAGCTGAGCGTGCCGTCGACGCGGTCGTTTTGTCGCCAACCAAGCCACGTATACCGACACCACCACCCAAATTGCGTCGACGTCAACACTCGAAGTCAGCACAAAATTTGCATCGCGCCGAAATGAAGATATTTCTGCAGAAGACACCATCGATGACTTTGGATTTGAAAATGACAACAGCGGATCTGGAGAACTGCCGCGACTTACCGCGTTTGCCGGAACTTTTTGGCGTCAGCAAGTGCAGCCTCGCGCCCTCTGATTACGAGGACAATGATGCCGACAAGGAGAACTCATCGCCTTCGGTTGAACTGTCACCGCCACAGTGCAAAAGTGATCCGAACACGCCATTATGCGCTGAGCAAAAGGTTTGCGGCTACCTGGCACAGCAGCAACATTTCAAAAGCGTTGACTCTTTGGACATGCGGCATACGAACGGCAAGCGACGAAGCGTTGTCTTTTCCAGTAATAATTCGATCAACCAACGTGGTTCAAAAAATAGCCTCACCAGTCAAGTTAGTCACGCTAGCACTATAGAGGAATTCGATCTGAAGTCTGTAAGCTGCCAGAGTTTAAATGCGCAAACTTTGTTTGTCTCCATCGATGAACTCAACGAGATCACGCGTCAGATCAACGAATCGGAGGAATTCAATCAGGACATAGACTTAGAATACTGTCTACACCGCGACAATCTGAAACCGAGTGAACGCCGAATTACGCTTTTGAAGAATAAAAACTCGCGTTTGATAAGTTTCAACAACAATAAAGAGAAGCTGCGGAAAGGTTGGCATGGTGTGAAGCACTGGATTGGCGAAGAGAGTACGAAGCTGAAGGAGGTGGTGCAGAAGCAAGCGAACCTACAACGCGTGGCTACCTCGAAGCTAAGCCTCAACACGTCGGAATGCCGGCAGTCGCCATCTGTGCATGGCAGCGTGCTTTTACGTAGCGGCGGGGGCGGTAGTCGAGTGGGCATGCCAGTGCTGCGCGATAGTGATACCAGTGCTGCCAGTAGCAACCTGCAACAGTCGCCAGACGCCACGGCAGGAGCATTAACCAATGCAAATACGTCTTTTGGTGTGAGTACTGATGATTTGGTGGATGGGAGTGGTGTGGGTGGCGGTGGTGATGGTGATGGTACAGCGGAGCGAGAAGAAGACCAGGAGTCGTCTTTTACCCAACGGCCAGCTGATGAGTCATCAACAGCTGAAAAATGTGCCAAACTCTTGGAGGTAAGTAAGGAGATCTTAGGGAGTGGTGAAGAAGGGATTTTACAAAGGCACTTAAATAATGAGCGGTATGTAGGTAATATAGTATTTACTCATGAACTAGGTTAAGGCACTTATAAGTATGCTTAAGTCCCTTAGGTTCATAGAAATGTGTCCGCTTTGTGGTTTCCAAGTGGTTAGGCATTACTTTCCATTAATAGAAATGTTGAAAATTATTTTCTTTGCTCTTTCAGGGTCAAAATGGCTTCGAAGAACTGCGACGTTACGTGAAACAAGGTGGCGACTTCGGAAAGGAACTTATAATAATATTACAAGAAAGGTAAAAGATTTTATTTAATTTTTAATTTAAAAAAAATGTAATTAGGTTATTTCTACAGAGTTGAGTCTGAAACATTATACTCGAAATCTCTCTCAAAAATGGCTAACAAATTGAACAAAGCCTGTCGTGAACTGCCCGGCAGCATAGCCGATGCTTGGCGTGGTGTGGCTACCGAAATGGAGAATCGCAGCGACATCCATCGCCAATTGTCGGCCTCACTCACAGACGAGATAGTCAAACCACTCAAAAATATAATCGATGCACATCACAAAACTCGAAAGTCGGTGAGTATCCCTGAGTAAGGTAATGCGCGCTAATAATCGACTAACTTCTTAAAATTTATCCCCCCCTCAAAAAAAAAGGTTGAGAGCAACGTCGATAAGGCGGCTCGTACGCTGGCCGAGTGGCGTGTCAGCGAGGCTAAAGCCAAAAAGTCTTCACACACAGCAGCTCGTGAGAATGAGAAGCTGCAAGATGCGTTGTTGGATGTACGAATACAGAAATCCCCATCGATTGCATTGTTACACCAGGGACCTAACAAACTTGCTGCCGAAAAAGAGATCAGATCGGCCGAAAAGGATTGTGCCAAATTGGACAGCAAACGTAAGAAAGCCGAGGAGGCTGTAAAGCGTGCCGACGTCGAATACTATACGCTCTGCATACGCGCTGAGCGCGCTCGTGTCGATTGGGAAATGGCCGTGCTGCGTGGCTCTTCACTGCTACAGAATATCGAAAATCAGCGCTTGGTCAATATGAAAAATTTCATTGCAAACTATTCGCAGCTAACATCGAATATGAATCCAATATTGGATGGTTTGATGCAACGCTTGCAGCCACAAGTGGAAGCTTGCAATGTATTGAAGGATATGCAAGTGGTTAAGAATATACGCCGCAATTCAGAGGGTCCCAGCGAACAGTTATTGCCTGATTTCTATTGCGAACACACCACATTGGCGATGAATCGGGAGAGACGTAAGCATGCGCTTATCAAGCTTCTGCAGTTGGTCAAGGCAGATTTGGAACGCGAACGACGATCAAGAAATGGACTAAAAGGACTATCGCAGTCGCTGAACAATCAGGAGAATCAGAATATCACCGACAAGTTGTATCATGTAAGTGTAAATTATTATTTTGCTCTACATACATATTTTGGTTAGAGAGTCTTCTTATCGAAAACAGTGTGTGTAAACGATATTTAAGGCTCCTTTATATGTTGACTTCTTCGTACATCTATATATGAATATTTTATGTCCATCTACGGCCTTTGTGATTGCAATTCTTTTTTTCATTTAAAACTTGTACTGGCAACAGCTTTTTAGAAAATAGTATGCAACACTAGCCTAATAATTTTAACAAGTAATTGCTAGAAGTAACAAATTGAAGATCGAGAAGGGGGTTCTAATTTATTCTAGCAAGATTTTTTATGGGTGTAATTCTCTCAAAAATGTATTATTCTTTGCTGCTGAAAAAATTATAGTTGTTGATAGACCAACAGAAATAAGATTGAAAGATCCTTCACAGCAACACATTTCGAAAGCCAACTTATACCGCTTGACGAAAGTTGGAGCGAAATTGTTGTGAATACCCAATTTTTATATAGGAACGGGCATTCCAGACCGGGTTTTTGTTTTTCTATAAAAAAAACTCTAATTTTTTGCTTTTCGGTAACATAAATGGAAATGGTTAATTTAATAAATTTTGGAAGTGTGGCAAATCTCTTATAAAATGCTTTCAAACTAAATTGGTGTAATTACGAAAGATACAATTAATTAGTTGACTAATTAAACTTTTAAAACAGTAAGTGATTCTCTTCAAAAATATTTTGGAGAAAAACATTCTTTATCTTCTTTCCTTAGACCTCGCTTGCTGGACACCCATATCAAAATATTTCATTAAATTTGTTAATTACACTGATTTTGAATTAATAAATAGATGACAACTTTCTTCAAAAATACTTTAAAAATAAGACTGGCTTGAAACTTCTTTCTGCTTACACCCATATTTAATTTAATTTATATTTAATTTGACTTCTTAAATAAATTTATCTTAAATTTCCAAACATATGTCAACCCTCTTCAAAAATGTTTTCGAAATGAAGCTTTCTTAGACCTCTCGTTTATTTGATTTCCATATAAAATAATTAATTTAAATTACTTATTAAAGTAATTTTGAACTCCCAAATAGGTGGCAACCCTCTTAAAAACCATTTTCAAAATAAGGCTTTCTTAAGCCATTTTCATTTGAAACCCAGATAAAAATACTTCATTGAACTTTTTAATAAATATTCAACAATTTTTATTGAGCTTGAGGCCGTTTTTAATGGAAAACTATTGTGGTAGATTATGTAATTGAACTTGTTAAATAAATTGACCTTGAATTTCCAAACATCTGGTAACCCTCATCATTTAACTTTTTCACTAACTTGNAATATTCAACAATTTTTATTGAGCTTGAGGCCGTTTTTAATGGAAAACTACTGTGGTAGATTATGTAATTGAACTTGTTAAATAAATTGACCTTGAATTTCCAAACATCTGGTAACCCTCATCATTTAACTTGTTCACTAACTTAACCTAGAACTCCCAACCTCTTTTCGAAATAAAGCTTACTTAATTCTCTTTTGTTTGATGCTCAGAAGAAAATATTTAATTTAACTTGTTAGTTAAATTGATTTCAACATTTTGAACAGGTGGCAACCCCCTTCAAACTTATTTCGGAATAAATCGGGTTTTCTTTCGACACCCACAATGTTGTAATATTTTATTAAATCTATTATTTAATAAACTTTTGAAAAAGGTGGAAACTCTGTAATCTCATTTACCCCCTAAACTAGCAATTGGGGGCAAACTGAAATATCATCCCACAAACCTTCTAAGGGAGCAATACTGGAACACTCCCATAAAAACCTCCCAAACGAGCAATAATGCAGTGCTCCCGTAAAAGGCATTTGNAATCGGGTTTTCTTTCGACACCCACAATGTTGTAATATTTTATTAAATCTCTTATTTAATAAACTTTTGAAAAAGGTGGAAACTCTGTAATCCCATTTACCCCCTAAACTGGCAATTGGGGGCACACTGAAATATCATCCCACAAACCTTCTAAGGGAGCAATACTGGAGCACTCCCATAATAACCTCCCAAACGAGCAATAACGGAGTACTCCCCATAAAAGTCATCCCGCATTCCTCCCAAACGAGCAATAATGCAGTGCTCCCGTAAAAGCCATCTCGAAACCTCCTCAGGGAGTAGATAAAGAGCATTTTCGTGTGTCCTATCCCTACACTGATTCAATAAGTGTATATTTTTCATTAGGTCAAAACCGGTTTGGGATTCATTAAATATATATATAATAATAAATAAATCGGACATAGCGTTTTGCAGAAACTTTTAAAAATTGGCAACCCATCACAAAATATTTATATCTTACAATAATTTTTCGCCATCTATATCCATATTTCCAACTTCAACTTGTAACGATTTTTTAATCCAATATGGAAATATTCACCGGGTGGCAATGAATCTACAAGGATTTCATTTGGCTGATAGCTTTGTAACGGTTCTTTTTTTGTTGATGATACAGGCCAATTTTCTTTTTTCAAAATAGCGAGCAGCACTGATGGTGCACGANCAATAAGTGTATATTTTTCATTAGGTCAAAACCGGTTTGGGATTCATTAATTTACGCGTCAGTATCTTTAAATAAATATATAATAATACAAAATCGGACATAGCGGTTTGCAGAAACTTTTAAAAATTGGCAACCCATCAAAAAATATTTATATCTTATAATACTTTTTCGCCATTTGGCTGATAGCTTTGTAACGGTTCTTTTTTGTTGATGATACAGGCCAATTTTCTTTTTTCAAAATAGCGAGCAGCACTGATGGTGCACGGTTTTTTATTGTCCAATTAGCGTTTTCGCTTTCCTTTATTTATGTTTATCTTTCGCAATGCGTTTGCTATTCACAATTAAATTCTTCGCCAGGCGTCTTAAATTTCTTTTTGACAAAAATTTATCGCAATCTATAAAACAATTGTAGTTAGTAATTAATCTATACATATAATAAAATTGTAACTGGCCGATGTCAGTACATTATACATAGATATTAAAGAAAAATTAATATAGGGGGTCTAAATTAGAGCAACAAAAGCTAAATTAACAATTTTTAGAATTTTTGTCTGTCTGTCTGTATGTTTGTACGCGCATCACTCAAAAACTAATGCATCGAATTGAATGCAGTTGTCACCGGTGCATTGCTAGAGATCTAACTTAAAATAAGAAAGAAAAAAAAATAGAGTTTCCGCCGGATTGAAAATTGCAGGCTAAGTAAATTGATAGATATTGTAATATGGCTGCCAAAAGAAAGAAGCTGAAGAAGGCTTATACAGCGTTTTTGCTGCATTTAAAATGCAACATTTAGCACTTTCGAACATATGTTTTCGAAGAGCGTTCATGCTATAGCATTTAGCAAATGTACATTTACGCGAGTTCGAAATCATATGCTTTTGACAAACGCCGTGTTGCAGTCTCTTATTTAGATCCGTGTATATTACGATCAATTCTCACGCAGAAGATAATGTGCAAAAACCCTACTGAAAAGGAAAAAATAAATTTTAAACCAAAAATT